CACTTCAACAAAACTCAGATCTGCGGTTTGACTGTTTTCCGATATCCGTATGCGATTTTCCATCCGGAAGGGCAATCAGGCGGATGAGTAGCGCACATGTAACTGTCGTATCCGCATCACTGAGAGAGGTTATGTGGGGATCGTAGTTTACTTTTCGCCTGTAGAGGTGGGCAATGCCAGGGACCTTGAAGTCTTGCAGTATTCGTTCTGATTCATACAACTGTTAGCACAGCCAGTGCAATTTGTCCAGTGGTCGCGCAATCGTCCTACAGACTTCAGTGGAGTTTTTCAGAGCTCGGAACTTCTCTGCTAATTATCCGTTACAGTTCCTTCATCGTCTTACGCAGACAGGACGAACGATCAAAAGCAATATTTGCTGCCGTTTTGGGCGGCATTTTGTTGATGATTTACTCACAGATAAAACTGAACAGTCAAGGGTGTTTCAGACGAATTCAGTCCGGCGCACCAGAATCCGGCCGTTTCGTCACCAGTAGGGTTATGATGTCTGAGCCTAACAAGGATGCAGTTATCTTAGGTCGCAGGCCAAGAAGAAGTTCTTCATCTCGCCGCAGTCTGCGTATCCCTGAATTTTGTTAACTCTGTAAATCATCCATTTAGCTGTATTCAGATTGCGCATCGGAAGAAAGCGGTCGCATTAGCGTCGCGTCTCATTCTGGCAAAGGTCTTGTGAAGCTTGATTTCAGAGATGTGGAGCCGGAGTTCTTTGCGGTAGTCGTCACACATGTTTGGTGCTGCCGGCATGTTTATACAAGGACTTTCAAACCAGTGAGATTTGTTAATTTCCGCGGCATTTTTCATTCGGTCTCCGTATCCTCCTGCAAAACCGTTTGTTCCTAAAGCTTGAAGTGCATGACGTTGCTTGGCTACGGTCTGCGTACTGCCATATCCAGTACTACGATGTTGAGCCTACTTGGTGCTTTGCTGCCCTGAGGCAGAGCCCCTGGGGTTGGATTCGCAGCCCCATCTTAGAAACCACAAACCAAAGGTTTGTCCAACAGTCGACACTGCACATCACCTTTGGAATCTGCAAATTGCGCTGATGTCGCCTGCTGACGAGAACATAGTCCAGCAGTTGCCAGTGAGCGGACTGAGGTCGTGTCCACAGCTGAAGAAAGTAATGGTAAGAATGAAATTGTGCCCCGCGCATGTCTGAAACAAGCTAAGGCCGTTGCCTTTGCGACTGCTGACTCCGTACTGACCTAGCAATCACAAACAGTGAAGTCGCCGAGGACAGTCAGTTTGGCCATCTTCGGCAAATCGCTGGAATAGCCTGCGATTTTCGTAGAAAATGTCTTCTAGGTTGCCAGGTTCTGTCATTTGGGGGTGGGCAGATGTACCGGCAGTTGTGGTGAATATTACTCTGTGAAGTGGAAGTCTCACGGTCACGGGGAGATCATCTATGTCCTGCGTGTCACCTTGTTTAGAACTAGTTTGCAGGAAACCAGAACTGCCTTACTTTCTGGTCAGTCCACCATTAATCCATCTAAGAAGATACGAATGTTAGAGGTTGTATAAAGTCATTCTGGCGTACTGTCAGCGGGGAAGGTAAGCGGGACGGGATTTGCTGTTTTCTTCAGTCTTTTGAGCGCAATTTGGCATCACGTTAAGCCTGCCGATGGCTGGCCGCCTGCATCCTTAGGACACTTTTATCACCATGAGAGCGCGAGCAGGACGCACATAAATGAAATTGTTTAGGCTCTTCGGCGTCTACCAAATTCCACCATTGACCACGATATTGATATGTTGAAAATACAACGCACATTGGTCTGAGTTGCCCATGGAATTGCATTTTACCCCGGCTTTATAAATGTTTGGAAGAACGAACGATTTGGATCAAAACTACCCAAAAATAATGGTCTGTTATGAAAAATAAGTAAATTTTCATATGCTTTCTAGGGTTTTAAACCACTAACTATGCACCCCCCTGATGTAACTTTATTCGTCTGTTCACGACTTTATGAATGCATTCTTTTGTGCTATAAAGAATCGTTTAAAACAGAGGAGTCTCGCTTTGCATTTTATAAACGGTCCTGGTAAGATCGAGGTGTTTTGATCAGGTGAATTTCGGCCTCTCAAAAGTATCGCGACTACGAACTTTTTAAAATGGGAAGCAGAAAACACAGTTTTGTGAAAGCTTTCTTTTGATGCGACATGATTCGTTCGATATAGGTGTAAATCCGTTTATTTCAGTGATCGATAGTTCTTTCCGAACTTTCGTGTAGCATATTTGGGCCTAATCCGCGTGCGTATCTAAGAAATAATAAAAAATGCAGCACGTTGTTGTGTAGGACTTGACTTAGAATTGTGCTCCGTGTTGGCTAGTCTTGACGGCAAATTTAACTAGCCCCTCTTGTCTTAGTACATGTTTGAAACAGTCGGGGTTACATGTGTTTCAAAGAAAACTTAGGGCACATGAGATATGATATAAATTGGCGCAAAGGCGTGGTTGTTTCGGCGGAGATAGTTGTCATCTATATGAGGCTGATTTCGCTGAGGGATATGAACAAAAGTGAGCAGTTTTTAATGCATAAGTAGGAAAACATCCAACTGACTACTTTGTGGTCTCACTGGCTACTTTTAACTAGTCCATTCATCTCTCGGATTTGAAAATTTCCCTCATAATTTGAATATTTCGATTCTAAAAAGTTGTATTTTTCTAAAAGACTATAGGTCGATCAATAGGATATCGTGTGGACACTTCGTCCCCAAGCATCATACTTGGCGTTAGTGATTATGCAAGGTTTGCTGGCAGGAATTTTTGAACGCTTTGAGAATCTAGGTCCTGCCCGTTAGTTTACTTACAAATAACGGTACGCTTTCAAGGGTGCATCGAAAATATTTCAGGTCTGGCTAAGGTGAAATGAAACGGGAACTGTGGAATCGCCGTTGATGGCAAGTAGCCTACACAATGGATTCTTGGATTACTACAAGGGAGGTCTCAGTGGGTCATAATTTGGAAGTTAATTTAAGTTTCATCTCGCCAAAAATTTCATGGTCAGTATGCTCTCATATCGACAGGGACCATCGGTATGGGTTGCCAATAGTTAGTGGTCCGCCTAATTTAAGGGATCAATGAAAACCACACTTTCTTGTCCCACAATATCGCGGTCAAAGGAGAGGTGGTCTTTGTGTGGGATGTTGAACTATTGAATCACATTCGATAATGAACAAATGAAAATGCAAAACAGTGTTAACTAATTTCGGAGTGACTCTCTGGTATTGAACATGGAGGTGACCTTATTCACTGGAGCACTGCAGTACTCACCAAAAAATTATTCCCATAGACACCTCTGACAGATGTCGTTCTCGCCGTCGCAGCCTGATCGTGTGTTGACTTTGACTTACAAAATTCAACTAAGAGGCTTAGAAAAGACGGGCAACAGTGGCCTAAACAGATCAAATGTTAAGATGCTGTCGAAACCCCTTTCCCTATAGTTTAGACTGATTAAGACCTTCTGAACGATAACTTTCAGGGAAGGTTACTCGTACGCTGTATATTGTCCAATCAGGTAGTGGGGTGTCAGGCCAGCAACTTACTCAAGAGGGACGTTTTTCATGTTTTGCCGAAAACCGAGGAAGGGTAAGGTGGACGAGAGGGGGACTGGCAGGCCTTGCCTGTTTTCAAAACTTGTGCTAATATCGATTCATTGCTTTAGCATCCGGGAGAGTGTTCTAAACTAAGGAAAATACCCGCCTGTGGCGTACACCTATATGGACATCCAATAAGTGCCAGCCTTGCCTCACGGCCATGAAAAGTCTCTTAGTTATCTCTGGCGTTCTTTATAATTTACTGAATTCGAATGACGGCAAGAGCACCACCCTGCACAGGCCAGTCTAGGGTCCAGGGTTTGGTAACAATCGGGAGATGACACCCAAAAAAATCCGTTTATGCAAAGCAGCTTGTCTTACGGGACAGGTGGTAATAGGGGTTTTATGGGTGGTGGCTGGTCGGGATGTACGATACTAGCCGACGGAAAGCCTTATTTGAACAGGTGAATGATCGAAGTTGGCCCGCTCGCCGTTCCGTTATTACAAAATGGGTCGCAAAAGGCAGTATAGTGGTAACGGACGAGTGAAAGGCGTAAAATCGTTTTCCCTCAGAAGGTTATCTACATTTCTCTGTTAACCACTCAAAGAACTTCAAGGACCCTACCACCGGACAGCACACCAATGTCATTGAGGCATACTGCAGTAGACTGAAAAGGAAACTCTACGAGGGAGGCGCTGTATGTGGTCGAGCTGTGTGGGCTCACATAGACGAAGTACAATATCGTCTTTGGTTTGGCCTCATTGCCATATCTTTGATTGATGCCTGGGAACTGTTCCTGTCCCATGTTTTGCAGACTTATCCTATTTAAGAGTGATTTTGTTTTGCAATATTTTTCCATAATGCGAATGTATGCCGTATATTCAGGTGTACATGTGCAACGATGGGGAAGGTTGGGTAACAGCGACCATCGTCCATGTAACCTCCTGCGATGTTCGTTCAGCCAGCCCAAGTAGTGCGTGAAAGTAGGCCTGCAACCGCTGATATAACCTGAAGGCGTTTGAGTCCACTGGTAAAGATATTATTTCTAGGCAACGGATTTTTTTGGGTGCCATCTCCCAATTGTTACCCAGGGTTTATTTTCAAGTGAGAATTAATGGCCTACTCGACAGTGGAATGACGCTCGAAATATAAATCTTTCTGATTCTTGTGACTTTATAGCTGAAGGAACAGCTGTTGTCTCCATCGTTGGTTATTATAGAGAAGGTGGTCATAAGGGGGCCACATTTCGAACGTGGGTAATGGATGATAACAGATTAGTGATAGTGATAATATTAGGGATTTGGAGGCTGATTGTGATCATAGTTGTGAAGATGGTGACGGTGGTGACAGTGGTGAGGGGTAGGAGGATGGGTGACAGGAAGGGGGATGAGGAGGATGCAGAGGTGGAGAGAAAACGGAAGAGGAGGAGGACGATGTATGAGAGGTCAACATGGATATGAAGAAGATGAACGGGGAGGAGAAGGGAGAGGAGGAGACGGAGGAGAGGGAAAGGGACAAGGCCGCTGACAATAGGTTAGACAAAAATACGAACAATGAGACGAGAAGGCAGACGAGCAGAGAATGTAACGTTGAAGATTGAGCAAACCGGGTAAGGTAGGAGGTAACTAACAAGTAGGAGTAGAAAACGGTATTCCAGGTCGTAATGCCCATGAGTCCGCTAAAAATTCCTCAACGCCTCAAGGGATTCTTTTATATGCATTCATTGACTAAAGTTGTTATGCCAGCGTTTACATGTGATAGTGCTAGCCCTTAGGACGTCTTAGTAAAACTTCCTTATTCTAAGACGTCCAAAAAGTGTGAGTTTTGCCATGGCCTCAGTAAATACAATGATTTACACTTGCCAAAATATGTCAAGTTCTTAGTGCCCTGTGGTAGGGGAAACAGTTAGCTTAATCCTTGCAATGAAAACAAAATGAAGCTTTTTCAAGCTCTGTAATGTATTGTTTTTCTGCCATTGATGTTCGGTTCCTATTTGAAAGTGTGTCTGACATGATTCGTCGGCCGGTAAGTATAGAGGCAAGTTTTGTCGCTGGTGCAGGTCTATTTTCAACTTTTAACTCGCAGATCTTCACCCAACTTTAACTTGGGAAATACTTGGCTTTTGTCATCCGATATTTGATAGAACTCAAAAAGCCACAATTTTAGTGTCCGCTTGTGTTAACCTTCACACAGGCCTCAGCTTACGTTTGCTGTCCTGCCACCCGTGTCTCGCAGTGGAATCGCCTTTCAAGGTTATGTCTTCGGTCTCACTACCCGATAGCAGTGCACCTTGTCTCCGCAGTGCTCAGGGGTTTCTTCTTGGTCTTGTGATGAGTCATCACATTGCGGGCGAGAAGAAACACTGAAGGTCTCGTAACTCATCGTAAATTAAGCGTATGCACCTGCTGCTCAGTACACAAGGCTTCATCAAAAGTGGATTTCATCCAAATCTCATACACAGTTAGTGTGTCTAACGCCCGATTGGTCGACTAAGAAAGGCAACATTCATCATGCCCGTCTCTTTATAGAGACTGCAAAGGCTGATTCTCCCATTTCCACTACGAAAATCATGTATGTTGTCCGTCACTCTGGCATCCTGCTTGATTCCTCTTAAGGGTTTCTTTGAATAGTTAGCTTAAGTAAATTTTTTCAGACGGACTCAACGTGTGATGAGGACGTGTAAGGGAAATGGGGCGATTTCCCAACCAGTTAAAATGATATGGTTTAGGAATTTCGCTGAGCATGGTAACCGTCTACCGATCGCCATGGTTTGCGGTGACGGCCGCGTGGGTACTTGTTCACGTGGTGTGCCAGACAGGCCCCGTTCGGGCCGAGGCCTGGAGCTTTAGGACGAACTCGATCGACCGGCATATCGATTGCATGCGCATATCCACAGTCTTTCCACGAGCCACGACGCCTCATACATGTTGCATTTTGCTGCAGTTTTTACCACGAACGATAAACTTTCTTGCGAATTGTAATTCTCCTACAGTCGATGTAGAGTTCCAACGTTCAAAAACACCTTCCTTTAATTGGGGTTTTCTGTCCGTATTTATCAAATAGGTATAAACAGACATTCGGTTCTTTTGCCTGTGACCATAGGACGCTTAGTACTAGAAAATAAACACGCACGCTTCTTTTTAAAGAACGGGGTGGTCCAGTTAACTTCTGTTATTCTCTGCTTCTCAAGACTTGCCATATTATAACCTGCAATATTGTCTTGCGGACATCTTATCTCACATGTAGGGGGTTTTAACTGTGTGAATCTACATCCCCCTACACTTTTAGGTTTTGACGATCTTGTTTTCATCAATACTCGCGCTGACGCCCCTCTTGATCACATTTTGATCAACCACCTCGAGCCTTTTCTTGTTAAAACAGAGCTTCGTTGTCAACTTCTCTTATTAGGCCCTTTAAAAATCCACTCTGCTTTTAAGCGTGCGCTTGTTGTCAAACCTGAGGGGAAAATTAAGGTTCGCGGCACGTCCCCACAAACAGTTACTTGCTTCAGACCTGTGTATCTTACACTATCCCTGCTCTCCAGACAACTGAATGCGAATCGTGTTCTAGCTATCTTACAACATCTTCAGATGGAATTTTTAATATTTACTGTCCTCTTGATATCGCAATGGTAAGGCCTAGCAGGATTTCTTCTCTCTGTCTAAAATTTTTAGGACGTAAAAAGGAATTCCTCTACGAACTAGGCCTGCGTGACCGTCTAAAAAACTTTACTATCCTAATAAAGAAGGAGATTGGCAGACTGAGCAACCTGTTTGTTAGTCAGCCTTTTGCCTCTTCTTTTAGCCCTTCTTTACCTCTTTTCTCTGCTAAAAATTGGAGGAATGTTAAGCGTCCCACTGGCCAAAGTGGCATACTGGCACAGGCGGATGATGATTCAGACTCTTTAAAGGAAAATTTCATCTTCACGCAAACGACATTTTCCTACTATCATGTGTCTTCTCGTCTATGTCTATGGTAACAGTGGAGAAAAGCCTTAAAAAGGTCCGTTGATAAACAACTGCCCGGCCGGATAAAGTCTCAACATTTCTTCTTAAATCTTATTGTTCTTAACCCCTGTTTCGACGCACCCCATTAGCATGTACCTCATGGAGTCCAAGATTCCTGGCCCTTGGCGCACTGCAATAATCATTCCTTTCCCCAAGAAATCCACTAATTTTAGTCCTAAATGTTCCCATTCAATTTCCTGTCCTGCCACACTTCTAAAAGTTGCTGATCGAGTTGTCTTAGCTATTATTATGTTATTCGCTTCCAATTTTTCGATTCTTTACAATTTACATATAAGGTCAGGCGTAGTACTTTATATGCTGTTACTTATGTGATCCACTCTACTCCAATAAACCCAGATAAGGGTTTCCGTGCTTAGGCTTTTGCCTTACTGACTATTTCTCTGGCTTCAATACTGTCCTGCGACATCTCTTTCCTAATAAAGCATCCGTGTGAGGCTCTCCTGGCCGAGCTACCTCCTGGCTTGATGACTATTTCACTTCCCGCATTCAGTTTGCCCAACCTGTCAGGCGGAAATCTATTGTGCTTCCCAATATCTATGAAGTCCTCCAGGGTTCCATTCTATCTCCTCGCATCTTCTCCTTTCACAATGATGACCGGAGATTGCTAAATGACGGTCTATGTGTCAGGCATGCTGACGATATGCTTGTTAGTCACCCACCCAAAACTCACATTCATCTCTAATTTTTGAAGAATGGCTTGGATCACGTCTCTGAAGGGTCGTTGGAAAGTAATCTTATCCCGCATAATTAGAAATTAGTTTTAACCGAAGGCCTCTTGCATTCCCAAATCTTTGGACATTCTTCCCAACAAAGGATCGTCTTTCCGGTGTCTTGGTATTACTCTGTTCTCCAATCTCTCATCCTTCCTTCATACCGAAATCCTTTTCACTAAAATGTGTAGTCTCGTTTATTACATTCATCGTTTACGTTCCTATCACGGACCCCAAGCCCTAATTTGAATATTTACAGGTGCCAGCATTCTCCCTCTCATTTTTATTGTTCTCTGGTTATTTTTACTGCTCTGCGTAAAAGTGTATGCTGCTTTTAAATCAAATCCTCCAAATGCTCCCTTCTGCGGCCGGTGTATCTCAAGTCTTTTTATTCGATGTTATAGTGCAGCGACATTCCAAAACGATCAACCAGTTTGTTAATTAAATTCCAGATGATCTTGTCCATCCTCTTCATTTTTTAATTAAGTCCTGCAAAGTCCTTCTGCCCCATGGGCCATGGATTCTGACATATCGACATATCGGCATTTTCTATTGGCATTTCTGATATTCTATCTTACGTGTAAGGAGGCAGAAATACAGAAACTGAGACTCGAACTTCCACGTAATTAATGTCCACTTTTATGTAAATCCTTTTGACTTCTGTATAATTTATTAATTTGTTTTCTGTTCACGCTGGATTGAGCCCTTTTTGATGAAAATTTATAATGATACTTTCAAAATAAAACGTATTTTTCTCTCCTTGCTCCAATAGGCCAAACTGTGGGCAAAAAGATGGAGTTATATCGTAATGCTATCGAGCAATGGGTGGAAGTTATTGGTCTCTCAACTACTAGTTCCCAAGAATATTTGTCCTCTAGGTGGTAGCCAATTTATTAAATATCTCCGTATTTAAATTCCCCATCGATTTGGAATTTTTACCATGAAATATGATGTGTCCATTGCTTAGTCCAGTGCACCGGACTATTTTTGATTCCATTTCCTTTTAAATCCACGTATGACTGCTGATGTACGTGGGGTTTTAAGTTGTGATGTGAGAAGTTAGGCAGTCGAGTTTGATGCAATTATGAATTAAATTTGGCTATAACATATAGCCGTTTCATTTGGTTGCATGTTAGCCGGTACTTGTTGACAGTCCTGAGAGTTTCTTGATTCTTACCTAACGGCTCGCCATCTGACCTCTGCGATGTGTTCGGCATTCCCATCGGGTACATCCAATTTAACTCTAATTAAGCATACAAGTTCCTAGACACAGAACGAACGAGGACATCTCAAAGCATCTTCTACTTGATTAGTATTTAAATTGACTTCTAATGACTGAAAAAAGCAGCTGCTTGTCTCCTAAAGAACCCTTTGGTCTGCTCTATTAAACCTAGGATTATTTCGGAACAACTCATTCCGTCGGACTTAAAGCTTTGTGACCAACTGCCTACTATGCATTCTACCCCATTCTATGCCATTCAGTAAAGTTTTTTCTCCGCTTACTAAACTCAAATTATCCCGACAACCTGATAAAAGAGCAATCCGCAATAATATAACAAATTTAATGCCGGAAAACAACACCGTATAAGCCGTTTGCTTTGTGAATTATCAGGTCGGGTCCGTCATCTTAAGTTGAAATTGTGAGCCCTCGTAGACCACAACTGGCATTTTCTAAAGGAAATTCAGCTCTGGATGTAATTAATGTATGCGCGCCCCAAATGCCGGTGGTTCTGTTCAACTTCCACTTCCGAACACAATGCATCATCTTAAGGTGTTATTGGAAGCAGTCCATTTCTAGCTAGGTTCTTCTCGACCTTCTTACCTAAACACCGAAGCACGGAAGAGAAAATACGTGTCTAAAACGTTTGTTGGATATTCAGTTCTTCAGAATAGGGGAAAAACGCGAGGATAAATAATAAATGTAATGGGTAGTTCAATATGAAATGTGTGCCAAATAATATATGCACACTTGCGATACTTAGTTCTGACATTGGAACAAATACAAAATTTTGTAGCCGCAGTGGTCAAGGTCACCTATAGCAGAAATATTTGTCACCAACACCTTCACTTTTCTGAAGGGTTAATAGAATCGTGGTATGCATTTCATACTGCCCCTGAGTGCATAGCACTACAGGGAATCTAAATTTATTTACGCCGGTCATTCGGCTTTTGTTGTTTTTAAGGTAGTACTTCATCCTTTAGAGAAGTCTAGGGGTAAACGTTCAGTTTTTTAGACCTGGTGGTCCTAATGGATACTCTGCGGCCTGTCTTTGTCCTTTCCATCTGCAGTTTACTCTCTACCCTCGGCAGAACAATGACGTGGTGCTGCATTCACCCCAAATGGAATTCCTGCCCAAAAAACATTTTTAATGAACAGTGGCATATGGGCTTGCAACATTTTACGCAAATAGCCTGTGGCCGTCCTTTCAATGTAAAACACTATATTGAACCTCTAGGCGACCAATCACACCACACGCAAGAAGTACTCCCGACAAAGACAAGAGAGACTGAAGCGTCTATTGGTTTATTTGCCGTCAGTTGGTTATCGAACATTTTGATCAAAAACAAGCCCTTGCATCTCGCGTCCACGTCCTGTTATGTTAGTTCGGATATATTAACGACTCTTGCCTTTGCTTTGCGTGGATTTTCAGCGGTTAAAATGTCCGAATTACATAAACGGTATTATTGCTTTCTCAAATCAAATTCATCGACAAGTACATAGTCCGAATAATCAGTTTGTTTGAATCTATCCGTTGTCCGTATAAAAACGCTAATTTAGGGATTGCAGCCTTTTTGGAGGGTAGGATTTCTAAGCATGCATGTGTTCTTTGAACAGCGTAGCGACAACAAATTTGGCATAGTCCGTACAGATGAGCCCTTCAGTATTTTGTTCGGGTATGTCAGATCATATCCCGTTTGATAGAATTCGATGATGTTATCATTACCGCTGTCACTATCATCCAGATGTGAATCCTGTACACCAGAGCCTCGGCATTTCCGCCTTGGGAAACCATGTTCGCGAGTGATAGCGACCGAAACCGAGGGCAAATACCGTTAAGACTTTATTGCCCAGGAGTTCGAAAATTATTTTTATTCGTGAACACGCCAGTTGTTTCCACTGTTATATGGTCGTAGTGTGCGTAAATTCTTATAACTGCAATGATTTGTAGAAAAGAACGTATACTATATTGGCGTCATATTCTCTAGGAAATACTAAGAATGGGCAAAAATCAGCGAGATCTGTGAAGACAAGGGCAAGGTTGAAGCGTAGTTCACAGTCCCGAAAATGAACAAAAGTTAATGATTTCAAAGTGGACACATTTCAAACTGCATACCTTCAGGGTTATCAGTCTGCTTAAAAATGGTTTCCAGAAACATTCATAGAGAGCACCGTCGGTAGTCGAAAGCTATGGTCGCAAAAGCGATGTCCCTTTTCTGAAAATATGCCTGACTATGCTTCCTAAAGCAGGTGGTATTTGGTTTATTCTGTCTCAAAATAAACTCGGCAGGTGAAGAGTTATGCTGTCAGGAATTTGACTAACCCTGTGATGATGACTCCCAAAGGCTTTTAAAGGTGATTACGGCACGCCCAGCTGCACTTTAGACCGAAAAGTAAACAAAAGTTTCCCTTTTTATAGTTTTCAGAGCCAACGGTGCAATGCAACCATTTGAAAATTGACAGGCGTCTCTGCGTCTTATGACGTGTGAGCGTCCACCGATAGATGTCCACAGGATAGGGAATGGTGATGTTTCCACTTGAATACCTTCGCTAGTGGGACCATTCGTATAAAACACGTCCATGACTCAGTGTCATGCGACCCCATCTCCAGCAATAGACGGTGTCCTATTAACGAATTATAATTTGACGCCAACAGATGTATGTTTTTATCAAATTGTATGCCATCATTGTAATAGAAAATGCTCTGGACCTTGTGAAACTTTTTATCTGAAGAGCACAAATTATGCAAATAAATAATCGGCCGAAAAATCCAAAAAACGCTATTTTTCATTTGCTTAACTTTCGCAGCCAACGACAGCGTGCTTTTTAGGATGTCTCTATGACATCCTGGGCATAGAAGTTGCTTAAGAGTTGTAACTGAATTACTCATACTTATCTCGCCCTTGTAAGTTATTATCACAAGCCTCTGTACACTTTCCACCTCCGGTGGATGCCAGCAACACTGGCGCTGCTGTCGCCGACCTGTTAGTTTCACGCCGTCTACCTTGATTTTCGCGCTTTCTATTGGTTGGCATTATACGTTGGTTGATGAGCTATCTGATTGGCTGTAAGGAAAATAGTCAGTTTACCTCATGTTCCATTGGCTGCTGTGCTGAGCAGTCTTGCATGCTCATCAGCTAACCGCGAGACTCGTGTATCCATTAGCCTCAGGTAGGACCGGGTTTAGAGTGCTAGAGACGTTGCGGAAATCCCTCACAACTGTCAATTCCTCTGACCCTGACTCTGCTGGACTATTTTACATCGAACATCACACGGAGAGAACTGAACCTGCGGAATATTCCCATTACAGAAAGGTGGTAAGGACCGTCTCGCGATACGTCGGCTCTTAACCCGTGTCAGGTAATTTCTAAGGGCCGTTCACATTAAGTTTTACCGAATATATGCATTTTACATACTGTCTAAATTAGCAAACCTTCCCGAAAGATTGTTTTTATATGTGAAATTGTGTATTTTGCTAAATTTACTCAGTCATCAAAACGAAATATTTTTTGATTTGGAAATTGCTTTGTCAAGTTTTGGTATTTTCTGTGGAGGAATAAAAGCTCAGCAGTGACCGACATTTCGAATACTTCCTACAAGACTGCTCTTACGTTCACGCGAAATTGTACTGGTCACTGACCAACCTGCTCTCCTTTTCTCTCAACAAATTAGTTTTTTTCACTTGACGCTCAACACGTCTAAGTTAGTGTTGCTGACGTTTGTTCAATGCAGGAAACATTTGTTCTCCGGTTTTCGTCGCTTGGTGGTACGATAAACAGAAAAGGCATTCGGTTAGCCAACTGCCCAACAGGCAGCGCTTGTCCTCGCACACTATTGTAACATACCAGCACTCTCGCGCAGAAGAAAATCCGAGAGGCAAATGATATGGGTAGCTGACTATTATAAAAGTTAAATAGTTGTTTGTGTGGCCACAACACAGTAGCACAGCCAGAAAATAAGTTGTACACTGGCAGAGGGGCGGTAAGCAGCGCGCGGAATAGAAGATCACAATCGTGCTTCTCCTCTCTCCGTTCCTCCCCGTTTTCTAATTCCGTGTCTGTCTACTGGTTGAATTTTCTTACGAAGCTAGTTTGAAGAAAAAGTTGTTGAAGACAAATTAAATTCCTTTTCCGGCGACTGAGTCCCCCTTTCACAATAGGGACATGTTGACCCGTTGTCCACATTGCTGGTGGCTAGTGCTATTTGCTTGATGGTAGCCTTCTCGTTTCTGTGGGCAAGATGTTCGATCAGGCAAACCGAGACTGGGACGCAGTTTTATAGTGAGAAAGGATGAAAAAGTTGACTCCAGTGATATTACTGCCCACGCGTCGAGCCCTGTGGTTGAGCCCGGAGCAGACAACCGGACCATCAGGACCCAGATCCGACAGAAGCCTGTTGCTTGAAGAGTGTGGGGGATTTTGACGATGCGGCTGTCGCATCTAGCGAGGCCAGTTTAGAGAACCCTCACAAATGCATGTTTAACGCAAGCTACCTTCGTGTCATCGGAATGTACCCCAAATTCGCACGTCTCTGCTACTGACATGCCTCTATCTTGAGGCTGTTAATCGAGCCCTGAACTCAGTAGATACAGATCAGTAGTAAGGTAGAAAGTTGAAAAATGTTTTGACTCTGGCACTTCCAAAAATACTCATTTTTAACTCATTACTAACATCACCGTATTGATGACCGAGTTAGAAGTGTCACCTGCAAAGTCCATTACCTACAGCTGGCCATACGTTTGGAAAAGTTCCGATTGGTTGTCAGCCTGTCCATAAGAGAAAAGAGGCCTATAATGTAGGAATTAATGAAGCATACATTTTAAATGAGTATGAATACGCTGACTTGCCGCAGATTTCTACGAACCCATTAAAGTCAGGCTAGCATCATATGAAGCACCATCTGCGATGAATGCGGGGCCGCTAATTTTTTTGGCATGTGGGCTATCCGACACTTCATCCTATAAATATTGAATCCGAAACATCAGGTGAGTAAAATTATCATTCCAGCGATCGAGTCTCCTTCTCGTTTACATGCTACAGCTTGCATTTTTTATTTCGCTGTAAATGAACCTCCCCTTTGCATCCCTTTGCAACCTGTAGGCCCCTGTTGACAAGCTACGATGTTGCGTTTTTCCCGATGATTCTCCGAGTTTTCTCGAGTTTCTTTCGAAGTACACCCTGAAGATAGAAGCACTGGACCGTTGAGGATTCTCTGACATGCGAAATTTAGTTGTTGCTACCGAGTGCTTTCCTTGAGATAGGTTTGCAGCATCAGTTCGAAAAATACTGACTTCTGAGAGCAAATATTACTGGAAGAAAATGATGATGCCAGAAAATGATATTTATTATATGTAAGCATTCCATACATCCTCAGGGGCTTTGACCTCCATGCACATAGTTTACTTAATCGATGTAACAAAACACTAGCAAAGCAGTGTAAAATAGGACGCGATCTGCGTATTTTCAGGTATAGATGACAACCAGACTGAAGGACTGACAAAGTTTTTTATTTATGGCGGCAGACGTCGACTACTCCTTGATGGATTTGTGAGGAAAGAAGCTGGATATCAATGTGTACAGGTCAGCTCATCAGATAGCACTGTGCCAAGATTGGCACTCAAGAGAGGGGATCATATAAGGCTGTAATCTGCTTCAATTTTTCTGGTCGTTATGTTGCTAAAGAGGAGGTTGCTACGAGGATGTACTTGCTGTCAGATCACAATATATTTCAACTGGTATACTTAAGTGACTTAAGGCCATCTCGATACCTTAAGTGCGCTGTTTCGGTGCAAGCCTTTTTTAGTGTTGGTTTGCGCACACAAGATGAAGAAGCCCCAAACCATGTGGTCTTTGGATTCAAATTAGATCGATGTCCTTCGACAAACAGCACCCATCACCTCGAACCCATCATCAGAGACAGTCTCAGATAAGGGTCTTTGCTTACTTACTTTTACTTATTCCCAACAGCAACCGCCACCTCGACAGCCAAATGTCCGATTTTCTACACTTTATTTTACCTTTCACTTAACCTACCCTTGAGTCCGCGGCCGATTATCTAACGGCAAACATATCGGGGTCTTTTCCTATTGAAAAAATGCTTGCCGCTCGGGTGCTAGGCTCCTCGCTTTTTCCACGTGTGAGTATCTATTCCAGTCGACCATCGCCAGGGCGGCGACTAAAAGTAGTTGAGCTGGGGGAATGCGGTGTTTTTCCAGACGTGGTATGATGGCTTGTTGGTTGATAGACGAAGTTTAATCCTCTGACAGTGTTCGGCGGAAACGATTCTAAATCTTGCTTTGTCGTCTTCGGTCTGCGCGAGTCCCACTTTTGCCTTTAGTCCCTAAACTCTCCCGAGTAAAGTACACCTTGTCCTGAAATTATGACAAGGAGGCAGCATTTTAAATGTGATGCTTTCCGGTTACCTCCTCTGTAATGCAGCAGTTTTTCGACTTGGAATTTTCGAATAGCTTGTAGAATACCTGAGCTACAGTCCCACTAAAAGGTGTGACATTTTAAAGCGATTGTTTTAGCTTTGTAAGCAGATCACCATATGGAATTAACTTCGTGTATTTAGATAAGCCTTTCTGCGTCTACACGTAGCGGCAGAAAAAAGAATGATCCGTTGGCACTTGGATGATGTTGGCACGTTTTGGTGGTAGACGTATGGCGGTCTCCGCATCATATGCCTATGAAATGCCATTTACAATTAAGGTAGCAACACTCCTTTAACCAATTGCTGTCACCTCAGCGTAGCCGCTGTGACTCTCAGGCTTTCTCTCACCCCAACCCTGCCACCTCACCTGCGTTCTTCTGTTTACACATATCTGCAACCAAACTTTTTGCCGGCTGTTCGAATAAACGGAGTCTTTTTGAAGAGATACCCTGCTGAATGGCCGACCCCTTGAAATCAAAGTCATCGAATGGGAATCTAAAGATAATTAATATGCTTAGTCGGGTAATTTAGTTATTCGCCGCGTCTGAGATTAGACAAAATAGGTGTACCGAAAAGCAGAAAGAGAAAGTACAGATCCTTGTTCGGGGGGAGGGGGGACGGTAGAATGTAGAAGAGGGTACGTAGGCTTGACCTCAGTGGCCCTCGGGTTAATAGCCCAAGGTTTTTCGTTTCCCCTCATGCGGCCAAAGGATACAAAGGCCGAAAACCATTAGTCCGCCTTCCTTCCCGTGGCCCATCTTCAGCAATCGTGGTTCGGAAGGCGAAATAACGGACGCTTAATGTACGCCAGACGAAAGATATTCGGTGGAGTCTGGTGACTGATTCTGCGCAAAACCCGTTTGTAGGTGTAAGCGAATGCAGTCCAAAATTGGTCAAATATGGTAGCCTGAGTTTAAGGCGTACTATTCAGAAAACGGCTCAGTCACTAAATATCAGTACGCTGACTCGCGGTTGAAAAGTTGGAAATACCTGCATTCTTCCTTGAGAGTGCTGGTCCACTAAAAGTTTGCTTCCCCTCAGGATATTAGCGCCAAAGTCTGCATCACTATTTTTCGATTTGTATGTGCTGCATGTTCTCAGAGCCAAAAAGGTGACGCTAATGCGCCGGTTGTCAGTCGGTATTTACACTCTGTATCGACTTCATGTTTTAGTAGAGTCTAGTTCAAAAGGTATTCGTCATTAGCATTTTTGTGCCTTGCCTCTGTCGGAGGCGATATTTATGAGTCGACCAATACGCCTAAGCTAATTTCCAGTCCTCTTGACTGAGTCCGTCAAAGAGAACAAGTCTAAGATGGAAGAACATCGTGAGTTTAGTCGTACGTAAGTCTTTCTATCTCTAATTCACTCTAGACCAACCATTGCCTCCCGCATTGGGTGATCTTCATCAAGCACATTGGAAGAACTACTGTAGCACTGTGTTGTTATGACCTACAAAGAGTCTTTTCCCGCTACGATACTGAAAGCTGCCGTGCTCGTATGCGCTCATCGGACGTGCTTGACCAGATGGACTTGTCGATTTCAGCCTCTAGACGCCCACTTTGGCGTTATAGCTTGGATGGATGCAGTTTAGTTAAGAGCAAAGCAGACTAACGATAGCCAGAAATTTAAGTCGGTTAGGAATTTCCGCTTCATCACATTTAAGCGTCTGCTGGACCAATTCGTCTTCGCTTTCTACGTGCTGCTGATCTCATGAGTTGGTAGCATGAACTTTTCCGCCGCCATAGTTTGGATAAAGTTGTTTTTCTGTTGTTGCAAATGTTGACGGCTTCCTTTGATCTATTCCGCCCTTCTCCATTCCTCTGTCTGCCGCCTATTTTCTGGAATGTATCATGCTACGTAACGAACACAGGTTAGAGGAGAGGACGAGAGCATCATAGTTGGAGAAATCGGTCCCAAGGGAAACTTCGAGGCGAGTTCTGTGTTGGAAAGTGAGGCAATTAGCTGCTCCTTCCCGACATAGCGCAACCGATGAATAATGCATTGGCATGAATTCAGGTCGTCTTTTGTTGGCTCCTTTTCCTGTTTTTTGCGAGAATCCCGAGAATGCAAGCGGCTGTTGCCTTCGTTTAGAGGATGTCAGACTTGTGTCGCACCCAAAGCCGCTGGTCAACGGGCCAGTTTTGAGTCTAAATAAATGGGTAAACTTTTCAGTGATTTTAAATTGGGGGCTTGAAGGACAGACAGTTTTGCCACTGGCCCACCGATGATTCACACTGCTCGACCATCGTTGCCGACGATATCCACCGTCCACATCAAATGCACGCCTCCTGCAAACCTACGTCTCGTCGTTTTACAAAGGCTAGCTACCCTCAGGCCACGATGTAAGGTTCCGTTTCGTTACCTTTCCAGAACCAGAATCCTCAGAATGCACACGACAGGCAGACTCGGTCAAACCGATAACTAACCAGTGGTGTAAGGCGGAGGCTCCATCTGTGTCTGCCCTTCAGTCAGATTTTTTAGGATAGATTGTATGCGTTGAACGGTAGAGTGAAAGCCCAATTATCGAAGACTTCTTTTAAATGTCAGTTCTCTAATAGTTCCCACGGGAAGCTCCCAATGTCATTTGCAACGTTTACAGCTTGGGATTTTTGTACTCCTCCACAAAACTTTAAGCCGCGTGGCCTCCTTTAGAACTTTGAAATCATCTGCTTGCTCCTCGCAGCCACTCCTCGCGTACCCGGTTGGCTGGAAACATTTGTGCGTACTAGGGAAAAGACATGCTTAGTCATACCTATCTTGCATTTCCGTCTTCAAAGCGTTGACACCACTGCTCACGGAGTCGCTACAAATTCCTCATGCCTATGCCCCACCTCACTTTACCACCGTATTTGAACAATGGGCAGTCGCTCACCATGTTCCACCTGTCCTTTTTCTATTCTTTCTGTACGACTGTTCACAATCATACCGCCAGTGAAAGGCACCAACACCAACTCTATCAAGTTTGATCATTCCGTGTGTTATTCCACTTGTGCTTCCGGCTAAAGAACGAAATGAAATACATCTGTTCTTCTTCCTTATACTGCACCTGTTGACAGCACATCAAATGCCCGTGTGTTTCTGCAAGCAGGCTTTAATATACAACTGTAAATTGTAGGGGATGTGCATGATACAGTCTGCGGCACACGGATCTAGGCTTGACAATATCAAGTATCCCTGTTTCGTGTTAATTAAAAGCTAAAAAGGAATGCTCATGGGCGGCCTTTACAGACAGGACAAAAACATTTAGAATAAGTCTTGGGCTGGCTATGCATTATTTTTAGACACTAAAAGGCTATCTCTAGCTTACTTTCTGACACGTTCAGCGTCGTAAAATACAGCTGACATGCTTACATACCAAGTAGTCATTTTAGTAGCGCGCCTGGTTTTTGCACATGGGAGGGAAAAACCGGTATCTTAGCATAACTGAACCATCTTTGGATTTTGCTGCACGACAGTCAATATTACAGCTATACCCAATTAGCCCATTCCAACTGAAATCATACTGCAGGATCTCAGTTAACATTCCATGAGATAGTTAACTATTGTAGTCAGGAATTATACGGTGTTCCAGACATTCTGCGAACCTTTCATTTCTTGATGAAATATCGGAGTTATCTTATTTATTGCAGTAAGCGTTCTCCCTATTTAGAACGTCTCTTTTTATTTAATCAACTAGGAAACAAGTCCGATGCGGGTTCATTTTTCACAAAATTATTTGATACAATTTGATGTTGCATGCTTTGCCACGCTGATGGCACGGATACTGGCTGTTAGCATGGTGAATCATACAACGGGCTTACACTACCGTCTGCCCGCATGTAGCTTGTGAACATTACACGACTATTCTGCTGAGGCTGATTGGATGTCGACTCAGATACTCATCAACTTTCGGACCGAGCCTGAGAATTCTTTTTGAAATGAATTGTTCCAAGTGCGTGCGTTTATTTCTGAGGAAATTAGAAGAGTTCAACCGTCTGGTGTACCTGCCATAGCTTAACGCGCCTTGGGAGTCTGTGGTATATACCATATAACTCCATCGTGGTCTTTTATAAAACTTTTATGTGAATTATCACCGGCAATTGTTAAGTTCATCCTAATCAAAGGTCCTTTATTCTTCCGTATACGCGTCCGGTTCTTATATGCCAGATCGCAAGACAGATATCGGCTGCCAAAATTTTTCGTAAGAGCGAATTGTTGTTTGACAAAATACTCACTTCCCGGATGACATTGCCCTGCAGAACATGGTTTGTTCTCTCCCTATTCACAGCAGTGAGACTTTGCGATTGGCAGCTCCAGTTGGGTACTTTTTCCTAATTTTCTGGCTTCTTTATCTGATGCTGAAACCTGTTCTTTTCGAATAAGTCATGCCTCGCGTGCCCAATTATAACTATCAGGTAGGCAGGATATGGTCTTACCTCCGATATCCCGGCATAGTCTTTATCTATCAATCCTGATTGAAAGATGGAAAACGAAGCGATTGAATATAGCCTTGGGGACTCTGGTCATGCAGCCAAGGCATACAGTAGCTTAGTGACTAGTAGTAGATAACAGACTGGTGTTACCGGCAGAAACAACCATCACTAAGCTGGCTTATCTGTTGGTGTCGACCAGTGATGCCTCAGCCCCATGTGCTAGTGCACCCGAGGCTTGATTCATCGAGCACCGGGGGAGTCACTGAACATTCCTGTCAAGCATTCTTGCCACTTGACTTACCGAGTCAATGATTCAATGAGTTCAGTAATGGAGTGCCAAGTACCAAGAAATTTGGGTATCACTGGATGTTGGTGGAAAATAGGCTGAGAAATATCATTGTAGTGTCCTCTTGTCCAGTGCCCCTTGTGTGTCTGCAATACTGTCCGATAGGTGACTTAAAACGATGGGTTCCCTCATAACTGTCATTGTTTAGTCTTCAAAGCACCCATCTTATTCGAAAATGCAAATAAATTTGGGACTGACACTGCATATCAGTAGCACGAATCCACTAACACCTCTTTCGCGGAATTTCTATCTGAATGTCATGCTGCAGCAATTTCTAGACTGGAGCATCTACCAGAAAGCACACGGGTAATATCGGTGGACCTACTGATGAGCCGAACCCCTCGCAGCTGTACTATGCAGCGGCAGAAAATTGGTTAGATACGTGTCTGGGCTTTTAAACGCGTTATCTTTTGCGAGGCCGTCCGATTTCACCCAATCTGTCAAGTCCGTTAATCCCTCCAAGTAAATGCGGGAAAGGATATGATTCATCCATCGTACCTTATGGGTCTTTTCATAATATCCTAAGCAATGTACAATTTTTTGTTGGGTTCTCTCATAAAATCCAAAATTCGGGACTGGTTCGTCCTTGGCTTTTGCGTGAGATTAAATTGCTGTCCAAACTGCGTTTTCTTTCACCTTTGTTCTTTTGATCCCCCCTGCAGCTGAAGCCAGAGCATGAAACTGACTTATTTCAGCTTTCAGTATTTTGAGAACCCCGGCCTTGTAGGTCAGCGTCGTTATAACCTTAACGCTTGATACTTCGTCTGTTCTCCGCCAGATTTACATGGTCAATTATTCATGCCGGTCGTAGGTGATTCGCAGACAAATGAAGTTGACAAAAGATATCTAGAAAACAATCAAGATCCAGACACGTGAGAATGCTCGTACTCGTATGTACACATCCCAACTAACCTACAAATTAGTGATCACTCCCACCTGAAGAGGAGCTTGCAGCCTCACGGATGACAGCCCGCGTGACGAGATTCCTCGGACTTGGCATAACTATTCAGTCTCCCCCTCTGTGCGCGCCATCCTCTGCGTCAACCAGCAGCCAGCCCTTCTCTTGCTTATTCCTCTGCACACAACCTTGCCAGCTTTAGTGGGTGGCCTGGTGATAACCACTGAGATTCCGCCATTAGGACTGAGACCATGGTTGACGGTACGGTCCCAAGCGGCAGCCGTGGGGCCTGTGGTGTGTCTCTATTGTTGCCACGACGCCAATCGTAGTCTTGGGGTAGACCGGAGTATAATACACATCTCGACGCTGGTCTAGTGGCAGCGCTGTCCTGCCAGGAGTCATTCATGCCGTGTACAGACGATCGTCGGTTAGTGCCGTCACAGCGCAGGGTACGTGGACGAGCATGCACGTTAGAGTCCTTGTTCTGACAGCCCCTCCCCCCGCGGAGAAACGAAGCTGGCACCTACGGGCGACCAAAGCGAGCTCCAACACGTTGCTGCTGCCTCTGCCGCCACGGCCGCGAACTAGTCGGTAGGCCCGGTAATGCTGCTTTTGCTACTAATACCTTTGAGCAGATAGCTTGACGGAAGTCAGGGTTACTTTCCACAGATAAGCAATTGGATGAGGTGGCAGCAGTGTTGACGATGGGGTATAACCGCCTTTCAGACTTGGCTGTGTGGATGACAAAGAGTCTGTCCTAAAGTAATCCTCCAGTTTTAAAGCTCTTCCGTTCACTTTCTGAAGGGATCAGTCCTGTTTGGTGTAGCATCCTGGTGTAAGGCCCTTGGAGGGAATCTACGAGCTCTTTATCTGCGAATGCTAGATTCCCTCTGTCTCGCTCTCTCTCTCTCTCACTCACTAAATATGTCTAATCTACGCTGGTAGTTCTCCGGTAACTGGTTCTCTGGCGGTAGATGCGCTTGCGCTCCCGTTGGGTATACAGGTCTTTAGCACAGTTGCCTAGCCATCCACATCTTTTCTGTTGTTGTTAGTCAAAATCCTGGTCAAGTGCTTGTTGTGGACCATGGGGTGTAGAATGGAGTGCCAAGATGCGAGTTTGGCTGCGCCATCAACCCGCGCACCCCCTCGCCTCCGGTCTTCCTGACCTGTCTTGACATCGGGCCCAGGTGGGGAGGAGGGAAGGCGGTAGGTTCTGCGCAAGTCTATTCTTACTATAAACTAATTCACGCGCGAGTCACCGTGCCTGCTTCACCTTGTTGTGGAGCAAACGGTGGACATCGTCGGATGCGACGGTCGAGCTGTCATGTCTAATCTACACGGTCAACTTTGTATAATGCTTGAACAACAAGTGAGAGCCATCCGTAATGTGAGGTCACTTTCTTCTGAACCTAATTTGGGTAGTCGTTAAAGCATGTGGAATACAAGAAGATTCATCCGATCGCCCCTAAAATACATTAAAATGGTTTACGGAAAATGTGTCTCCTTCCGCGGTGGGGAATGCCAGTCAAACCGGAAGATGTTCATTTAGTATCTGGTTGAAGACGAACGATCACTATCAGAGATTTCGGACTACTGTATATTCACCTGAACTCAAGTTCCCACTTGAAAATGCCGCTTTCGTGGTCTTACATCGGTCTGAATCCTCAGTTTGCCGCCCCCGCAGGCTGGCACACAGCTACACGCACTCAAAACATAAACGTAATGGTGACAAAGACGAGGGTGACTAATGCGACCATTTGCCGTTGCCAGTCGGCCAACCGTTAGCCTCGCAACAAACCGGTCGTTCGGACCAGATTCCTTCGGTCATTAAGCCTTTAGCAATCAAATCAGAGCCGGAAATTTCGCGTAAATTTAGATATTTTTGGTTGATATCGAAGGTCACAGCAGTCTCCTTTAACCCTGATGGAATTGATTTAACGGCTTCTTTATTAATAGGTGTTTTAACAGTTTTTGCATAATTCAGTTGACCCAACTACGAAAAACTCGGCGACCTCAAATGTGGTTAAACTCACAACTCCTGGTGGGCCTCTTAGCTCAAGTGGCTAGAACGTTAGCTGTACTCAAGCCTTCACTTTACTGTCGTGAGTTCGAATACCACCGAAGTCACCAAGTTTTTCATAGTTGGGTCAAAGTGACTTTTTTACTACTACTTGAGCCGTCACAGCATGTTATGTATCATCTTTGGTACAGCTGTTTTGCAGAGGTATCCAGGTTCCTTACAAAAGTTTGCCGTCTGTGCAGTCGCAACTGGTCTGGGCAGACTGGTGATTCGAATTTTGATCTGAACATTCTCATATCTTTTTGATGAATACTTTCAGTCACGTTGCGGAACGGCGTAATTGCTTCTTAAGCATCCTCAATAGTATTAAGTTCGACGAAAATGGTGTAAATGTGTCATTTGGAACCATTGTATATCTCATCCATATTTATCTAGGAATGGCCCTCAGGACTGGTTCCAGTACTGAGCATGTTGAATAGTTAGTAGTATCTCAATTATCTACCTCTTATCAGCACCTCTTTGGCTTCTTTGAAATCTAGCTGCGGGTTTCTGTTCACCCTTTTATTGTTGTCCAACGGAAGGACTTGTTCTGTTGAAACTATATTTTCACTTCCCTAGCTACACAGTCAGCCTTGTGTTTTAAGTTAGATAGTGCACCGGAACCATTGAGAAACCGCAAAAACGACAGCTTTACAACATAAAATGAGAAACGTCAGAAATAATTTCCTGCTCTTTCATATGCATTCGGCATTTTCCGTTTGCTTGGGCTCAAAGATCAAAACGGGTTTTGGATCTTCCCCAGTCGATCGTTCTCCCCGTCTTTTTCCACCTGTACGCATGCCCTTTGACCAACCGGTGCTTTTCATAGTGTTCCGCTAAGGCCGATCCTGTGTGCAAACCAGCAAACGCCCTCTTTGATCTCGTTCATTCGAGATTGACCCCTACAAACTAGTGAAACATCCGCTCCACACATCTGATCACCACCAGTCAGTGCTTTGAGAATTCCAGGGAGTTTCAAAGCAGATTTTGTGTAATAGCTACATTAAATCAGCGGATCGGCAGGGGGCTAAAGGGGAGTGAGTGCTGAAACCATTTTGTCGAACCCCACGGGAGCCTTTTGGTTGGACATTGCTGAAATGCTTTCTTTACTTTGGGCCAGGTAGGCTGACGTATTCAAGGAACTAGACTACGTAGGCAACTCCTTGCACATTGACTTGTCGTACCAAGGCACTTTACGAAGACTATTTATTGCTTACTTTCTAACCAATTTGGCTTTTATCGAATGAATTGAAAAACAAATCTAATGAATATCCGGCCTATAGGTATGCGCAAATTCCCTAATCACATAGAGCACGAAGAAGAGGGCGCTAAGGTATGCCTACAAACTTGCTTTTTGAAGTAATTCTACCGTCCGCAAGCAATGTCATAGAAGGCTGGGAAGTAAAGGGCTTTCTGCCCAGTTTTCAGTTGCATGGCATTGTCCATCGTTTTTATGGTAACATTGACAGTAAGCCCGTTCCTCTGACTGGACAAACTAACTCCACCACAACCTCATCCGTGAAACCAGCTGGCGTGCTTATGCGGGCGTCCGTAGACCTAGTACAGCTATACATTTGAGCTTTGTTAGGGCTGTCGTTTACAGTTGTATACAAATGCACCACCCATCAGTGCCAAATATAGGTGGTGACGAGAAACTTGAAATGTTTGGTTCCACATCAATAATAATTTCGTACCAACGCCTGTACGTTTAGCCGCCTGTGTCGGGCAGGCCTTTGGGTGAAATTGCTTCCGGGTCGCTAAATCGGATTCTGGCGTCTAATTTTTTTAAATAGCCGGCAGCCAAACCAAAACTATGAGGCAACCAATGGTCGGAGACGTTTTTAGCCTACTTGACAGACCTTGCTCCGTGGTTACGTCCGTTTGCTGTTTACCCATATCTCCAAACCTGACCATTGCCCAAATCCTTGCCGCCATGCTAACTCTAGCTCCGTTTACGCTGTCGAGTTACCGGTGGGCCTTCCCTCGAAGCATGCTCCAGGACGTTCCAGCCATCTGACTGCCCGATTTACCACGTACGAACCTGCCTGCGGCTCGCGATGCAATCTGTGCCAGTAAAGACAGCACAAGTGGTGTTCCAGTGAGCGAGTGTAACCGTCTTCCTCTTGATGTCCGCAAACGGATGCGCATGTCTCATTGACTCACCCGTGCCATCATTTGGGGTGCCGCTGTGGCCCTGCGGCATGTGCATGTAACAAATGAATTTGCAATTGTACACAGAACGAGGACCGAGCGGAGAAAGGAGGCATGCCATCCGCTCCCCCCTCCCCACTCCAGCCCAAGCACGTAGTCAGTTAACCCGGATAGGAGAGACTTCGTTAGCTGCGCAAACATACGGATCAACTACGCACACGCGCGCATGGGTTATGTCAGATTGGAGGCGAGAGGTCTCGTGACATTTAGAATCGCTTACATCGGGGCGGATGTGCGGTTTAGGGAAAGTAGGCTTAAGCGCTCTGAATGATTTGTGGCCCCCTCAATTCCACCTTGAATACTGGTGGTACGAGTTTTATAAATTACTTGGGATTCCAGCTCATGAGTTTCATTTTGCCCAAAAACAAATTTATTGGTTACCAACAGAGCCAAATTCGGGAAGACGAAGCCACCTACTTTCTTACTAGCGAATTTGGCTAGATCGCAGTTGGTAGCCAGGCCCCGTATTGCAGGTGGCTTGAGGGTTTGTCTACTGGGCTATTTTGTGGGGCTCCATAATTACATCTGACCCATTTAGCTTCCGTTTTACGTTTGAGATTATGATTAGGGTGCCGGTTAATGGTTTCCGATTTTCGGGTTAGGGATATGCCTTTAGGCTTAGGTTTTAGGGTTACGGTTAGGGTTTGAGCGTACGATTGGGTTTCAGCATTGCGGTTAGGTTTTTCTGTTACGGCTATGTCTAAGGGCTACATTTAAGTTTATGATTTCGGCTAGGGTTGGGTTTAGGGTTGCCGTTAGGGTTAACGGTTAACGTTTAAGGTTGAGGTTAGAGTTAGGGTTAAGGTTAGGATGAAAGGTTAAGGTCGTCGTCCGCTTCCCCATTCCTGGCTACCAACTGCGATCTAGCCGCGAATTTAATTCTTCAACTCCTGATCTGTAAGGCCACGGCAGGATAATTTGTTAGTTCGCTTCTCTCCTGTTGTTGTCATTTTCTCACTTGAATTCTGTGAACTCTAGAGAACTGACATTCGGTTGAGTATTGTAATAGTTACTTGAATTGTTTTAACCAGTGAACCTTCTGTGCTGAATGCTGCAGCGACTAGGCAGTGAATGTGTACTCAGAGGCCTACAATCAACAGGTCAAGCCCCGATTAGCAGGGGAGGAACTTATTGTGAACAGAACTCTGAGTTGCTGTCTCAAGCAACAGTGGCCACTGGCAGAGCCAGGGTCCACTCATACCCGGGAGAGAAGGAGACAAATGGTGGCAACTGCTTTAATGGGCTTGTGGGCCAAGTTTAAGTGTTGTCCAGTAGGGGTTTGTTGCATAGCTGAGAGGTGGGCCGTCTAAGTGGCGCAACTGTCTGGAGGCACGTGCCCGAGTGGAAGTCCGTCGAGTGGCCGCAGGTCAGCGATTCTCGAACCACTCGCTGTGGCGGTGAGTGAACTTGAGGCTGCAGGGCTTTGAACGAGGGCTCCAGGCATTGTATTGACGGCTGTCTGAAGCAGTCCATATGCTGGGCAAACTCGTTCCTGACCACGTTAGTCCTCTAAATGGGTTTGAACTAGCACTTATCACAAATATAAGAAGGCTGACATATGGCCAGGGATATAATTTACCGATTCACCATTATACTATGTCTTGCTGGTGACGACTGGATATGTAAGCCCATGTTTTCATCTCTGCAACATAGCTACTTGATTGATTTTTGTAGGCATTTTATGCTAGGGTTACGTCTCTGGCTACGTTCAAGTAAGGGATTAAAATTAGGGTTAATGTTAAGGTTAGAGTTGGGTTAAGTTCGTCTGCAGCATACCAACTTACCTGATCCGGCGTTTTTCGGCCAACCATTTTAGATTATTATTTTGCGCGGTCTGCTCCGCCACCTCGCCGGAGTAATAAAGCTAACAACAAAAATATGGCAGAAATGCGAATTTTCTCAATGTCTTCCGTCCAGTTGGTTAATTGTCGTGTTTATCCGCCCTACTGATAAGACTAATATAATAATCCTTCCCAAATTACTGGAGTTCCCGGGCTCTACGTTCTCAGTGGACCGATATATCCGATCCTCGCCTAGCTACTGAAAAACCAGTCCCTCTGAGAGAAGGGGAAATGATGATGATAGTAGTAGTAGTAGTAGTAGTAGTAGTAGTAGTAGTAGTAGTAGTGGCGCTGCTGATGATAGCGCCGACGATGGTGGCGGTGGTGCCGATGATAAAATAAGGTAACAAAGAAGATGACGACGAGGAAGAAGAAGAAAAGAAAAATGAACAAGGGATTTCAACCTCAAGGGAAGAAATGATGGTCATCTGGCACTTCGTACTCTTGGTCGACACCGCCATCAGACAACAAAACCGTTTTCTAATATCAAGTTGAGCCGGTACAGTCGGACATAAGCTTTTAGATTCCTCTATGTTTTTGGAACGGACGCATGTGGCAGGCTCCGTTCCAAGTGCGCTTAACTGCAGTCGAATCCTTGGTTCAGTGGCCATCTCTCATAGGGTGCTGAGTCAGTTAGCCCATTTCCGAACGGAGGCCCCTTAAGTGGCCTTTTTGAATAGTCATAAGAGAAATTTCCTCTGATTGATGTAAATAAGTCAGAGTCTGGTTCTTCAAATCTGGACCTAAAATGCAGCGCTCAGAACAGATTTGGGGGTCACCCTCCTATCAGTTGTACTTTCTTTAACGCAAACCTTCCACGGGTTGGCTCCGATTTGATTGATTCCACAACTGTTTCTGCCTCGGATAAACCACCTTAGTAGTTTTCATCTGAACAGGCCAGTTCTGGTTCTTCAGTGCATATGTGCGGCAAATGCTTGATGTAACGTCAAAAGCCACATATTTCTGCGTCCTTTGAAATGGAAGGAAAAAAGAGAGGGTTTCAATCTCAAGGGAAGAAACTATGATCATCTGGCACTTCGTACCCCTTGTCGATGCCGCCATCATGTGGAAAAGTGTTGAGACTTCTATGTACAGCAGTTTAACCAACAGGGAGGTGTAGCCATTCAACATTTAATCTGATTGTAAATTTCTCGGTTCAGCACCATTAAAGGGAGGTCTTATCGTTGGAATAAACTTCGCTTCGGAGCCCCCATTATCCAAAACCTGAATTTGGCTTATTAAATTTTTTTGGGGTCTTGTCTGAGAGATTATTTGAGTGACTTACAGTTCGATATTCAGACTAGTGAGATTCACATACTCACATTTTATACAAGCACACAAATTCTCATGCGTGAATGTAAGTTGCAACTCTTCCGGTGTTTTGACCAGACAAAGCAGGCGCAGAAATCCCTGGCATTGGAGATAAACATCTTGGTGTGTCTCGTCAAAAGCATGTAGTTTGGCCTTAACCTAATTGACTACACGGAACAAAGCCGAGCAATTGGTACAGCTCTTAGTCCCTGACACTAGTCATTAATCGCAAGAACTATCCAAGTGCGCTATTTGGACGGATTTAGGCCTCTTCTGCAAAGCTATTCAATCTATGTGTACTGATATGCTTTTGTCGGAGATAGAGGAAGTAAGGTGAGCTTCCAAGGCAGCTCTGGCTTCCTAAGGTAATAAACTCAGCTTCGAAATTTGCCAAACTCACGTACATTGGACATCAGATGCAGATGACCCACAGTCGCTGGGAGACCAAGAGATGGAAACTGTCACGTCTGCTCGCGAACACAACCTACGAAAACATTTGAAGTCTGCGTTCGCCAGGCGCGCTCGTTTATAATGACGCTGCTGCTGCTGCCGCTGATGATGATGATGGTGGTGGTGATGATGATGATGATGATGATGATGATGATGATGATGATGATGATGATGATGATGATGAGGATGATAGTCACATGGAGCGTTGCTTGATGTCCTGTTATTCTACACTTTTCAGCCTTAATATTATCACTGAGAGAAGAATGCTCAAAGACATGCGGGTTGGCGTGTTCAAAACTCTCTACTGCATACTAATATAGCAGATTTGAGCTCTATCCGGTAAATGCGTAGAAAATACGAGATCTGGAACATCAAATTCTTTCTCCTCCGTTTTGCAATCATTTAAACATGACTATGAAAAATGGCATTCAAGAGGTTTAATCCTCTCTTTCCCCACCGCCACAGTAAAATTTATTCCTAGTTGAATAAAACGCATCGCTATCAGCCAAATGCACACATTGACTTGGAGACACACCATGCGGGACTTTCAAATTTAAGCAGAATTTTCAGCCTTTGCGTCAAATTATGCGGATAATGGAAGTAACTGACGAAGTTGTACAGAACTGTAAAGAGGAAAGCCAAAAAGAGTCATTTCAATCTACGTTGGTTTCTACGATGCTTCACGACTATTGCTTACTTGTCAGTTCACAACCGGCCATGAGGTCCGTCAACTGGGGCTCTAAGACAAACCGGAACGCCCGTATTGCAATTTGGGCAGGTCGCTGGACTCCGCTCATTAAAACTAAGCGATGCGCGGAATTCTAAAAGGAAGATCTAAGTAGTTGGGCCTACTGCTCAGGAAACAAATAAAGAACAAATTTATGCTGCACGCGCAGGGCTCATGACGATGGACCGATTGTATGTGCAGGCTTTGCCTTAACGGAGAGAGCAAACCTACTTTCGGTAAGCCATAAAATGGTCCAACACTGTTCCGATATGCAAGTCAATTATATATATTTCAGTCAGACAAAGCCTCCTGTGCACTCGGAGTGGAAAGGACAAAATAGAACTGGCTTACTCCGCTTTTTAAACTAACCAGTTAACGGCAAGATCGGGCTGATTTGCTTATGTATTCTAATTAGATGTGAATTGGCGAGCAACAGGGACAATGTGGCAAAATAAAAGCAACAAAGGCGGGTTGGAAATACTGTGTCCGACTTCCTTTATAAAATCCGCAGAAATTATTCGAAATTAGCTTTGCAATAAGTGGCCGACCTGTTCACTGAACCTGCGCCTGTGATGAGATCGGGCCTAGTATAGACTCGCGCACTTTAATCACTAATGTCCTCATTTTTCTGAGATAAACTACGCCTAAGCACACCATAGACCACCTTCATGTATCTGGCTGTAGTTTTTAATTGGATCCCGTTCCACTGTAAGATCACTAAAGGTTCTCAGGTGTCTTCGCAATAACACTTATTGCTTAGCTAGCAGACAATTATTACTCTGGTAAAATAACTCTCCTATTTCTCCGGAATAAATTACAATGCACCCAGTTCAATTAGTTTATTTAAAGTCTGTTGAACACGGACTAATCGGAAAAACAACTTTAGTGCCCGCTATCTGTTTGTGTTGCCCTCTTCGTGGACATTTGAGCGCAGCTTCGAAGCAAAGCAGAATAAGCCGTTACTGTGTATCTCATTCACTGCAGGCTATCGCGTCTCCAACGCTCAAAATGGTCATCTTTCTTCTGTCCCAGCTTGGAATCGAAGACTCGAGAGACGGAAAGGAATCGACAACGTCCCAGAGGCAAAATTGATTAATGTGTACGACAGGGCTCCGTGAGACCTAACCTGCATTTTCTTGGCATCAGTAGTATCACCTCCAGGGTCTGCTGCCATGTTTACAGAATTATAACGCAGAAGCATGGTAATGTTATCTGCAACTCAGCCGGATGAAGAGAAAGCAGAAATAAAAGACAGCATTGGAAGAAGCCGTTTAGGGTAGATCTAGCACCTCTCCAAATGCCTCTAACCTGACGACATCTATAACCACGGCCGTACAGCATTCACTCGCATCCCCAAGAACGTAGGTTTTTCCCGGTAATTCGAATTTCCCCTTCAATCCGAAAATAGTTTGGAACGAAACACAAACTAGCGGCAGGTGGCCTCGTCATAAGCTCCCCTTGATCTGACGTATGACCACTTTTCGAAGAAACGACCACCAAGAAGCACACACCACAGCACCATCACTAATTCTAGGTAGAAGGGTCAGATGTGGTTTGGTAGCCCCACCTGATGGACACAATACTGTTGGGGTCGGGGTTAAGGGTTAGGGTTAGGAGTTAGAGGTTATGGTTAGGGGTTAGGGTTTAGGATTCGCGGCTAGAGTTAGGGGTTAGGGTTAGAGGCTGGCGCAATTATTTCTCACCCATTCAAAGTACAGCCGCGCATTCCCAATAGCTTTTATTTTGCATACAACTACTTGACCTCGTCGCCAGTGCGTTCCCCGGTCCCACCTGTAAAAAGCCCTATTACCACCGCTCCCGTATTAGAGGTGACTAGGGTTCGCTTACTTCAGGTGGGACTACCAAACCACATCCGACCGGTAAAAGGTATAATTAGGTTCGCTTTTGTAGTTCCGGGAGCCTTACTCATATCCAAGTGAAGTCTGAGATATCTGAGTCATCTTCTTGAGGTCGTGGGAGAATAACGCTCCGTCCCAATGTAGTTGTAAGGCATGCGCCACCCGCAAGGTTTTATGGCACACATCTCGCTCTCTTTATCTCTCTTGTACGAGTTATTACTCATAATGATGACTATGTGGAACGTAGTTTAGTCTGGGAGGAGCGGTGTGAATGGAGTTCCGAGGGTATCACCGCCGATAGCGCTGTCCAGACTCCAGAGTTTCCGGAAGAAAGCACGCGCGCACGGGAGATGACTACTTTATGTAAAGCGCTCCCTTTTAGCAGGCTATAAAATTGGTGTTAGCCTCCTAAATGTTCGCGACGCGTCACCTTGTGACCCTCGCCACTACCACTTAGATGCCTCCTTAGCTGGCCGTAAAATATCACCAGCACAAACTAATTGCCCTTTGGTGGTGATGATGGTGCGGTGGAGACAGCGCAGCATCATCTGATTTGCGGCCTAAAAACGCTCGCACAGACATTCAGGAGGGACGCGAATAAAGGCTGTTTCTTATCATGACATACTGGCGCCAAGTACTCCACTCTCTCGCCAGGTGTAGTGCTGGCCGAGTATACCATTTTACATTAATGCTGCACACCAGACTGGCTCCTTTATA